GGGGAACCCTTGTCTGTTATATTATTTTGAGATACCCAATTGTATACAGAATATCTCATCCCTTGCTGATTTCTGTTAAGTAAACATTGTCCTAAATGACTTCAGAGCTTTTGCGTATTATTTAAAGAAAATCAAATTTCAGACTTTGCTGCGAGTGCTAGTTCAGCTTTCGTGCACTCTCCTACATCAGATTCAAGAAGTCACATCTTAACTGTGGTACATCAATATTGTTAAGAACATTACTTGGCAAGACTCCCAATAAGTACAGATCTACTGCACACAAAGCTTTATTATAACAACATAAAAACCCCATCTGTTTAGATAAATAAAAATCACTTTTAGCTAGATAAAATTAAACCAACTATCACCCAAACACATGAGAACAGAATGAAAATCTATAGACAGTGTTGGGTCAGCAACTATTGGGATGATTAAGTGTCATGGTGGTAAAGTGCGATGTAACATGACCGTTGCTGACTTACAATGGCAGTTCCAGCAATTTCAAATTGCAGTCAGGTGAATCCCATGCGGCTGTTAGGCAGGAAGTCATGTGACATCACCTGCCAGCTTCCTCACTGACATTGCTTATTAGCATCTGGCAGTGAAGGTGATAAATGGTGATCATGTGACCACAGAGATGCTGTAACTCTCATAACTGTGAGCTCTCTGCCAAATGCCCAAACTGTGATCAGGTAACCACAGGGACACTAGGATGGCCACAACTTTGAGGACTGGCCATAATCTACTTGTTAAATGCCATTGTAATTTTGAACAGTTGATGAATAAATGCTGGTAAACCAAGGACTACCGGTATGTAGTAAGAATTTCATCTCTAAGTAACTGGGGCTAAGAAGAATAGCTATACAATGAAAAAATCTATAAAATACGCTTAACATACTGTTAAAATAAATCATTAACTTTTCTAATTGTTTGGAAATGTAATAATGATAAAGAGATGAGCAACGCTGAAGGTATCATTTTTTTTTACACTTTACTTGATCCCAAACAAAAGAAAGTTTAAAGCCACATAGTGAAAAAAAACACGGGCATGTATCTCAAAAGGACACTATTACGTTTTGTTGAAAATAAACCTTAATATATTCATATTTATTTCTTTAAATCAGGATCATCAATGTTCAGACAGCTACATTGTGGTCAAGTGAGATTAGCAACACTATTTGTGATTCTTTCAAGGAGGTTATGTTGCAAGAAATAGCAACAAAAATGGCTCCTGAAAGTTCTTACTACAGAAGTAGATACTGCATTTTATTCTATCCACATTTTGGGATCTGAGACCATGCTGGCTGAAGCTGACTTGAGCACAAAACCTTGGATAAACATCCCATAATCTTTGCCCACATTATTCATTCTTTTTATCATTATTGTTGAAGTTCAGGAAACCCCGAGATGTTCTCAACTGGTAATTGAGAACACAAAAACAAAGCCTCTTAAATTTGGGAATAAACTACTGCTTAGTAGAAAAGCTGACACAAAATGTAGATATAGCCTTGACAAAGCTGCACTCTTATTGAAAATTAGGCTCAAGATCTAAGAGTACTTTGCTTCTGATGCTGATGCAACAATTATGCACAGGGATGTTTTTGTTCAGCTTAGATTTTTGGAGATTTAATCATCATCACATACACCTTACTCATTCCAGGACCATTAGTACTCTAATAAAATGAGCAGTACCTAAACCTTTAGTAGGTGAACACTGTAAAACCAAGTTTTTAAATTAGAGGATACAGTATATATTATTAAGACAAGGATACACCTGAGCTCAATCTCTCCCAGATAATCCAATTTATCACTGAGATCTACTAACAGATCCTGCCTGATACACTGCTGACTAAATATGGCCTTCTCAGACAAAAGTGCCTAGATTTTGGAATTTCCTGCATCAATAACCTGCCTTTCCCACTCATCCAGCATCTAAAAGCTTCATTTTGTTCTGTAGACCTTTTAGACCACAATCTAAACAGACAGTATCTAATAGTGATTAAGCTGCTAACACTGGGAAGATCCTGCTTCAATTCCCCCCCCCCAAAAAAACAAGCTCATCAGAGACTTGGTCCAGTCATTCACTTTTCCAATCCCAATCTATCCCAGAGTTGTTGATGTGGGGGGAAAGGATGTAATGAGGGAGTGCTCTGTGCATCAACTTGAGCTCCTTAAAAAAATGCAGGATATAAATCTAACAAGTAAATACGCCTTCATCTCCTTTACAAATGAGTTTATGTTCGTGCTACATTCTGAATCTATAAAATCTATATTTTATATTTTAAAAATGGCATATTACTAATATTCATCGTAAGCACACTAGGTAGCTTAAATATTTCTTAAACTGAACAAAACACAACATAGAAACCCCTAAATGTATTACATACGATTAGGCCACACTTCGTACACCCATCCAATTGGGAGTCAAGAGCAGGAGCTTTTGGACTTCAGGGAAGAAGCACAGAGACAAGCAGATAAACGACGCCCAAGAGCAAACTGAACCAACGCAAGGAAAGTTTCCGAATTCAAGGAGGCAAAAAAAAAAAAAAAAAAAAAGGCCGCGCGCCTCCCGGGACGTCTCCGAAGGGGCTCCGAGGAGGAGCGGCAGAAGTTTCCTAGCCCTCGGCCGAGCGAACGCGGCGTCCAGCTCCCCGACAGACCGCGGAAGCTCAGCCCCAGGTCCTCCTCCTCCTCCTCTCGGCAGCGGGGCCACCGCCACCCGGCCCTGCCTGCACTCGCCCCCCCCCCTCCGTCCCTCCTGCTCCCGGGCCCCGCGGCTAGCCGGGCCCAGACAGGCAGCGGGTCTCCGCTCCCTCCGGGCCCGCCTGGCGGATAGCTGTTTGGGGGAGCGGGCGCCAGCCACGCCGAGTTTGCTCACCCTTCCTCGGCGCGGGCTCCTCCGGCCTTCAGCCGGATAGGCGACCCCTCCGAGCCACTCCGGAGCTGGCGCCGCCTCCCTCCGCCACCGGGGGAGGGAGCAAGGGGAGGTCCGTGCTGGGACGGCTGCTGTGGCGGGTAGCGCGGAAGGGGCGACGGGGGAAGGCGGGATGGCTGGCGGGGGGTGTCTTCCAGGCCCCGCCGCCTCTCCCGATCTGGCTTGGAACCGCTCCGGTTTCCCAGCCGCTCCCGTCCCTCCTCCTCCGCTCACTGTGCGTCTCAGGCTGGCAAATCCAAATCAAAATAGGGCCACACAATATGGCGGCGCCTCTAGTTAGCAAGCCTCGCGAGAACTGGCCCCGAAGGCTAACGGGAGAGCGGAGGAGGAGGAGCTCCCGCGTTGCCTCGGTGACGGGTTGTTGCCGTCTCTTTGCCCGGCGTGAGCGCATCTGCGGCTGTCAGGTACGGCGGTGGCGGTGCTCTTCGCAAGTTGCCCCTTGGAGAGAACCAGCGTGCCCGGCTCAGCGCCCCCGGGAAGCGAAAAATGGCAAGAGATGGGAGGTGTCTCTCGCGCTTCCTTGCTGAACTTTTCGCCCACTCCTCCTCTAATAACCTCTGGCCTGCTCTGCGGATCATTATTCAAACCGGAGGCGGATAGACCACGGAAGCCGAGTATACACGTTTAGTGTGCCTGCCCACTAACCATAGAACTGAGATGCAGACGTGCAAAACCAGATCGCCGTGATAGGGAAGGGGAAGAGGTAACATACAGCGTATCTTTGGTAAAACCAAATGAACTCTGAGGAAAGTATACGGACCAAATTTTATATCCAACTAATTTGCAGTGAGATTTATCCGTTTTTGGATTTGTGGAAAGTATTTTATTTTAACAATAATAATCATGGGAAATTCTTTAATCCAAATTAACTTTTTCTCACTGTCTCAGCTATCCCTTTACCATTAACACAAGACCATGATTCACTGAGACTGAAAACTATGGAACATACATTGTAACAATCAATAGCTAAATTGCACCTCTGCTAAGCTACGGTATCAATTGATTTAATAGCACAACCAAAGTACCAAAACCAAGTACCTAGGTTCTCTTGATCGAGCAGGGGGCTGGACTAGAAAACCTCCAAGGTCCCTTCCATATTTTATTCTATCCCATCCCATCCTGCAAGATTAATTAATCAATCTGTGCAGACTTTCTCACACTCACAAATAGGCTGCCCAGATATCATCTAGGGAAAGGGAACAGACATCAGAAAGGACAATTAAGATTGGCCTTAATTGAGAATCATTGCTAGAATCACCATGTATACACACACCAAGCCCACACCAAGGACCAGTCCCCCTATAAAACAAAGTCTTTGTACTCCATTTTCTCTGTAGCCTATCCCAAGAGCAAACCTTTTTGCTTCTGGAAATAAATGAATCAACTCCTTTCCTGGCAGCATGTTTTGTTCTTATTTGCTCAAGATATCCTGACTTGGAAAAGAGACCCAGAAAATTCTTTTGATATAAATTCTTATACAGGAAGAATAAGGTGTTACATTTTAAGAGTTTATTAATGCAGCAAAGCAGTATTTAATTAAAGAGGGCCAGAGGAAGTTATATTCAAATTCTGTTGAGTAATTTGGGTATTTTTACCCATGTATTTTTCCATAATCATTAATTTTACATTGACTCTGTGTATTTCAATATTGCTGGGAATTAACCAGAATTGCTGGGAGTTGGGCAGTATATAATTATTTTACCCAACCTCATTTGCTGACTACATACAACAGAATTAATCATAAATCACAGGGGCACAGCTTACAGAAAAATGTAGGCTAAATGTGACTGTCTATATTGTGATTGTCATTCAGTCATGAGCTATGTTGAAAATAGATAACTCATAGCTATCTCAAACTTTTTTTAAATTATTTTTTTACTTACCTATTAATTAAATTTATCCGGCTTTGCACACAAGACCAAGATAAAATTACCATATTGTTTGGCTTTATATAACATACTGAGGGATAATCTGCCACATTTCACTTGTGATATGTTGCCGATTCCATGGGATAAAACTAGTGAAATTCCAAATGGCCATTAGAGTACACCGATTCTTCAAAATATTCAGATGTACATACCTGCTTTCCAGGTTTACTTTATTTTTAAAATTTACAAAGAACAGTTAAAAAATGAGAAGCAATACAAATATGAAGAAGAAACATTAAAACAGAAAATCTGTATCTATGGCAAAATAGTAATCTAATGACCATTCCATTTTATACAAGACTGCAGTAAGAAAATAAAAACAGACATATGTAGTTGAGTGCGAGAGACAAGGTCTAATTATTGTTATCAAAGCAATACCTGCTTTACCTTCTATTTCTGTTTGCTTTATGAAAACAGTGGCTGTGTCCACAGACCAAAGCTTCTCCATTTTTAGTCTCAGTTCTGAGGAGAAAATAGTTGTAACCTAAATCAGAAATACCTCAGCTAAATCTGCACTTATGAAGTACTGGAACCAACTTAGAACACTGAAGAGCTTATGATGATGAATTAATAATGGCACTATCAATTGTCTGTAACTTGTCTATATAATATTTGTTAAATAAAACAAAGCCTCAAAGTTGAACCACATTTGATCTTCTCTATGCAACATTAAGAATATTAATGTAAGAGGAAGGGATGATTGGTACCATTTCAGTTGATTAGCCAACAGCTGGTAGATTCATGGGTGATAATTGGGAGAGTCACCTAGATTCCCCCCCCCCGCTTTCTTTTCTTGCACTGAACTTAAGAACTTTCTTAAGAACATGTTATTCACTGCAGATACATGGAGTGTCTGAACTACATAACAGTTACTTGAATCTATTAAATTTATAACAATCTGTTACTGTGAAAATATTAGCTAAAACAACTTCAGGATCAAAACAAGAAATTGAGACCCATATGATATATAAAAATACCAGTCATCCTATTATGCCCAATCATGGCTGGCAGTAATAAAGAATGAGAAGACTGCAAAATAAATAAATGACTTTCAGAGGGAGTGCTACCCTTCCTCTTAGTGAAAAGTGTCAGTCTAATTTATTTGTAGAATCTGAGCGGTTAAAAGAAACAGTTACTTTTGAGATTGTAAACTGACTAGAAGCAAGATACAATAAGAAGTCATGAAGCGGTATAAAGAAAATAAAGTTAGGCTCAAAATTCTTATGTTGCTGAGTTCAATTACAGTAGTTGAAAAGTAATTTAAGCAGCAATCATGACATTTTACATGTATGGTGAAGACGGGGGCAGACTCCTGTCAAGTCTGCTCAGATTTAAAATTATTGTTTAATTTGTACTTATGTGCAGATCACACGTGTATGATCTAAAGAGATTATAAAAAACATTTCTATTAACACCAGAAATCTGTCTTTATCCAGAGTTTAGTTATATCCAAATTTAGTCAATTTTCAGGAAAAATAGATGAGAATTCCTCATGATTGCAGATGAAAGAGTCAATACTGTTGAAATTAATAAGAATTTTGTATTCCCTATTATTACAGAAGATCAAACACTCATATTTTTTAACATTATAAATTAGATCAAATTAAGTCACTGAATTTAAATTTTATTAACCTAACATATGATACACTAAAGAAAACTGATTTCAAAACATAAATATATCTGTACAACACTCCAGAAATTTAATCTACTATCAGATATTACAAGCAGAAATTTGCAAAGTTGATGCATGTATACAGTATGCCAAGACACTATTTTTCTAAAAATAAAATTTTTGTTTTATCAGCAGAGTATTTATAGTATAAAAAGCATATATAAAAATGCAATATAAAAATTTTGAACAGCACCTTTCAGAGGAAGGCACTCCATTCACTATTAGATTCAAATATTACGTTACAACAAATGTTTCATTTCAAAAAACATGTATTGCAGAGAGAATTTAATGGTACTTTGGGATAACAGCCACATCTATTATTCCAGTTACATTGCGTTATCTAGATGTATCAACAATGTCCCATGAACATATTTTCCATCACAGCTTTGCACACTGAAATGCAGACTTGCTTTTAAGTTTCAAATTAACTTCAATCATATCTTCTATTGCTTCTGCTACAAATATGGTAGAAAAGCTCCAGGAAAAGGGCCTGCCCTAGGATGGAATGTAAGAGAACAGTATCCCAATAGCAGATTAGATTTATCTGGTTTTAACCAGGAATATATTATATTTCATTGAAAGACAAATATAATAATAATAATTTGCCAGTTTAACTGGAAATCCTAAATATTAAACCAACGTAAATCCTCTTTAAACTATGAGTTATTTTACAAAGCAAACAAATCTCAAAAATTATAACTGTACACTGCATTGTCTGCACTCTGGCTCCATACATAGAACCTATTGTTTTGGTGGGTAGCTTGGAGCAGGATAATGTGATTGTCTGCAGAATGGTGTGTGACTAGGAGGGCTGACTCTACAAATTGAGAAAAGTGTTTACTATACTCATTCGTGTAAGAAGTACAAGGCTGAAATATAGATCAGACCTGAAATAGGAGATATGTTGGAAAACATTTTTTGAAGACAGGCATTTTTCATTTGTCTAAGGTCTACTGATGTATTCATCTGCTCAAAAGAGAATCAAAGGTAAGTAATAGACATTGCTGCAAAGGGGCAAGTTGTACTTCTATTACTGAAACTAGTGTTTGGCCTGAAAAACAGGCCAGATAAAATGTTACTGAGTAGTTACTTGTAAGCCACTCTTCTTTTAAATGAAATACCCAGCATAAATATAATAAACAATAAATAACTGGTTGGAAAAAGAGAACTATTTTTTAAACTTTTTTCTTAAAAAAAGACCACTAGCTACATATTTTAATGTATGACATTGGGAAGCACAAAATGTGGTGCTTGGAAATTCTTCAAATACAGGAATACAGTACTAGCACAGGGAGCTTGAAATATTTACACAGTGCTATGCTATATATTTATAGATAAAAAGCAGAATATTTTGTATTGCCAGTAGTAGGAGAAAAAAGCTGCAATAGCAAAAGATACAGATGTTGCAACTTTTTTCTTTAATTTTGGGGTGTTGATTCAGCATAGAACAATGATGTAAATTATATTTAATCCCTATTAAATATAGGCTGGATTTATTCCAACCTAGTAATTTGGGAATACTAGACCGTGTAAAATAAAAAGTTATTAAAACAGATTTTGCAGTTAAATATCATGGGGGTTCAAACATTTTTAATTTTTGTCAAAATTTGTAGGATGAGAATCACAGAAAATTAAAATCAAACATTTAACATTAATTTTGTCTTAAACCGTTACTACTTCATTTCTATTAGTTATTGAAAGCAGCAGACATTGCATAACAATCTGTATGCAAAACTGAAAATTATAATCCAATATAAAGTTTGTTTATTGTAAGAATAGTTTGAAGTGCAATTTTTTTATATTTAATGAAAAGATACTATTTTCAATGAACTTAAGTCATTTCATGAATTTTAGATTACAGCCTTATTCTACAGCCAGAACTCATAACTAATAACTTTATACTTCTTTGCTTTATATATACTGTATTTAATAATATGGCTAACTAGACAAAGTATGAGTTTACTAAGAATTAGCTAATGCAAGACAGGCAATGACTGCAAACATCTGGAAGAAAGTAATGGTTGTGGTTGATATAAAAATAGGCATCTCATTTCCTAAAAGAAATCACTATTTTTTGTTTACAAAAAGTTAAATTTATAATTTATTTTTCCTAATATTACTATTTTCTATATTAATCACTAAAAATGGTGGAATAAATTAATGATGAAAAAGGGCTAGTTATGAGAAAAAAATTACATGGGAAAAATGGAATAATTAACATTCCCCAATCCAAGTAGCTAGAGTCAGCTTTCTAACAGTATCTCAATTTTTTTTCATATAATAGAATTGAGAAATTCAGAAACAAGGTTTATCTTCTCTATTAAATGTAAACTAGGTCACGATTTTGAACCTCTCTACTGGTCCTCTCATCATCTTCATCAGACTGTGATTCTAATCTACAAGAATTAGTGTATTCATATTCAATAGGCTTTGGATAGCTATATGGATACCCATTGTCATCAAAAAACCTTCGAAATGTGAATTCATAAAAAGCATGCTCAGGATGTTTGCCATTTTTATACCACCCATTAAGCGTGTCATTTACATTCCCTTCTTTATCTTCACTCCATAATTTATCTGGATCAATTGGATCAAAATTTGATGTATCGGTGGGATGGGTAATTTTAGGAATATAAAAAGCAGGTTGCTGCCGTAGATCACTTGAAAAATCAATAGATTTAAAAAATGGGTGTGCTTTTATTTCATCTGCACCATTCTTGCCTAAGCGATCATCTGGTCCTCGACAGAGCTTAATAATAAGATCTGATGCCTCTGGAGTTAGTTTTGCTTGCAGTGGGATGTGTAGTGATGTTTTCCAATTGATAACCTTTATTTTTTAAAAAAAGTACAGATAACATAGCATTAAAAATATAAATTTCACATTAAACACACACTTGTACACCAAAATCATTCTTTCTTCAGGAACTAACACATTCAAAAAGCCCAAAAGCAAATATTTCTGAACCACTACTGCCATGTACAAGAGCCTAAAAACTTGCATCATAGCAAAGACTTATGCAGGGGCAGTTTGCATAGGAAATCAAAAAATCAAGATGGTAGCCCTGCCCCTTTTTTGTGTTGTGTATGTGATGCATGTAAAAAGTGGGTGGGCCATTGATTGCATAGTTGCCATCTTGGCTTTTTTGAATCCTCCTACAGATGAACCTGGATTATGCCTAGTGGGAGGCAAAACTAAAGTTTAGCATTTTGCCCTTAATAGAATTCTTCCTCTTTGTTCTATGTGTAAATATTTTCATAGAAGAAAAGGATTATTTTGTCACCTTTGAGGATCTGCTTTGTTTCATAATTAAATGTAAAATACATTTTTTTCCAATCTTAGTGAACTCTGTATAAAAGAATTTCATTATTCATTATTACTACACATCAAATATTTTTGTTCTATCTTCAGTGTGTTTTAAATTTCTAATTCGAGTTTCACTGAAAGACTGGAGCAAAATGACTTCTGGAGAAGAAATTGCAAACTGAAGAATGGAGCCAACATCTGTAGCCGAATGAAGAACAAGCAAGTAAACCAGCTCCAATTCCTCCCCAGACAAAGAGAGGGCTTGAAATTGCCCACAAGTGCGCCAGACAGTTGTTCCTCACGAGGAGTCCAGAAAACAGCAGTCTGTGTGAGACAAAGGAATAGCTGTCTTGCTTAAACCATGATTGGTGGTCAGGAACACTAGATTTACATTTCTTATCGGTTTCTGAAATTACTTGTTAACTGCTATAATAGCTTGTAAATTGTGATTGTTGTCTATTAGGAAACTTTGGATCAACAAGTCTGAAAACACCAGGTGAGTTTAATTCAATTCTCAGAGAAAGATATAAATCTTAAAGCAAAAATGTAATTAGAACTTTTGATTTTGAAAATTATAAAGAGATTAAGAAATCTCAAATCTCCAAATGGATTTGAAATAAGATTTTGGAATAAATTATAGGAGCCTTTTCTGTGGGAAAGTGCCTTTGCTGGAATTCTTTTTTTAAAAAAAACCATGGTAGAATGGTACTTTGAAGGTTGTACACTAAAGCAGGGGTAGACAACCTTGGCTCTTTTACGACTCGTGGAGTTCAACTCCCAGAATTCCTGAACCAGAAGGAACGAAAGATTACAATTAAAGGAGAACACTTAAATTTAACTTACTAATATAGAATGAAGCAAAATATTTTAGCACTGGACATATGTAAGAATATTTTTGAACAATGGACCCAGAAGTCCATTTCAAGTGTACAAAGACTGTGTTTAAAACACGTTATGGAAGAGGAACAAGTTTTATCTGACAAGTTTCAGACTGATTTGAATGTGAATTTAAAAATAATGGGGAAAGATGCTATACTGGACATAAAAAAGAAACCACCTGATGTCTCAATAATTAAAAGGGATGTAAAAATAACAAACCAAAAGACTGACCTAGATAATTTTCTTATATTGGATTTACAAAAGAGGCTTGTTAAAATTTGAAGAATTTTATGAGAAGGGCCAAAGAAAGTAAAAGAAATCAAATTCTAGGACATTATTTGAAGGAATTAAAGCTCAAGATTGTTAAAAGTAAAAGCAAAGAATATAAAATTGATTTATTTAATAAAATAGATATATTGTATCTCTGGTAACTCTTAGTGGACTTTTGCTGATCAGGTCTGAAATGACAAGACTTTAAGGATTTGTTTATAGAGAAGAGATGGAATATCAGAAGAGGAGATTATTTGTTGTATTTTAAGAGAAGTGAAAATAAGTTACTAAAATTGTGATGAAATCGGAAATCATTTCTTTCTATATTTCTTTTCTTTACTATATTATTTTTCTTTCTGTTCCTTTTTTCCTACTTTTTTCCTGCATTTTCTGTTTTTCTTTTTTTCTTTAGTTTGTATTAGTTTTAATTTTTCCAATAGTAATTTTTAATAAAATTACTATTAAAAAAAGAAAGATTGGAGCAATCCATTAATCCATTATTCATTTATTATGACTTCTATTTCAAAAGGGTGACAAAATATATAAAAAATCAATAAAAACATGTCCTGCAGATTAAAAAGATAACAATAGTCAACTAGGAGGTCTTATAGTGAAAACATAATACTTCCTCTCTTTGATTAGGATAATTTCACATTTTTCTATTAGAATAATTTCACAGTTCTATATTCTACACACTTCTATAGAAAAAAAACCAAAGTAGGTTGGTAGCCCACTGTAAAATTCTGGGAAGAAATAATATCAAACTACAATTTATAGTTACAACTAAAATTGCGTACAAGCATATTAAAATGTAGGCAGAGCATATTACATATCCACTGTTCTAAGTTAAATGCAGACCAAAGCTTCTACACATTGCTTATACACAGAGGCAACTGATAACATTTTTTTTCAAATACCTTCATTTGCGTTTCCAATGGTGTTTGTGCTAAGAAGGGAGGTTGACCTACTAGCATTTCAAAAAGAATCACTCCAACACTCCACCAGTCACATAGCTGTGTATATCCTGAAGCAAAAGAAAATTCAGTAATTACACAGACCAATAGTAATTCTAAATTTCATTCCAAGAATGCACTAGCTATTATGCAGAACAGTATTTTTGAAACATCTAGCACATCTGACTTTTAGGCCTTACAACTTTTTAGGCCTACGACTGTACTTGTTACATATTAAATTAATGTAATTTATAATTTTTGTGTCAACACAATTAAGAGTGTTGGCAACAGTCCTGCAGCATAGTGGAATTTCCTTGTAGTTAAGAGTAATTGTTTTAAGGAATAATTTTCTTTTCTATTTTTTTTAAAGTTTTTTATTAAGCACAAAGAAAAAAAAGGATTAAAAACATTGAACATGGTAAATCGTCTTTGACTGACATCTTAGTCCATGTTGTACATTAATTTCATATAATATATCTATATACAACTATACATTTCTGGTCTCTATCTCAACTTATCTCTTTACTGTGACCTCCATTTTTTTCCCCTCCATCTATAAAATTTATTCCATATTCGATAAAATTCTGTTTCTTCCTGATTTTTTAATCTTTTAGTTATCCTATCTAGTTCTGCGCAATACATAAATGTCTTTATTAGTGCTTCCCCACTCGGTACTTCCATTGCTTTCCACTTTTGAGCAAATAGTATCCTTGCTGCTGTAACCACATGGATAATTAAATATGTGTCCTCTTTATTTACATTTTTCTCTAGTATTCCTAATAGTAATGTCTCAGGTTTGTATTGAATGTTTTGCCTAGTCATTTCTATTGCCCATTCCCAGACCATACGCCAGTACACCTGTGCTTCTCTACATGTCCACCATGCATGAAAAAAGGTGCCCTTTTCTTTTTTACATTTCCAATGCATAGATGAATATCCGTTATATATTTTGGCTAATCTGGCCGGAGGGAGATGCCATCTGTAAACCATCTTATACAGGTTTTCTTTATATGATGTCGCCACTGTGATTTTGTTATTTCGCTCCTATACTTGCTGCCATTGATCTGAATTTATATTATATCCTAGATCTATTGCCCATGTCACCATTGTTTCTTTAACCTGCTCCTCATATAGCTTATATTACAATAGGTGTTTATAAATATTCTTTATTTGTTTTTTTCTCTGGGCCTAGCAGTATTTTATCTAATCCCGTATCTTGTCTGTTAATTCCCCATTCTTGCTTATCCTTCATGTATCTTGCTTGTATCTGGAGATAAGACCACCATCCATGTCTATTCTTAAGGAATAATTTTCAAAATCTAGCCATCAATTTAGCATCCCAAACTACAGGAAAAAAGGAAAGCTTTACCTGTTCGTAATAATACTTCTGGTGCAATGTAATTTGGTGTCCCAACAAGTGAATGTGCTAGACAGCGCTGATGTTGACGTGCTGCTCTACGTTCAAGAGGCTTTAGTCTATCTCCGCATCTACAGCTTGCTGGATCTCCCCATTCATTACTGAAATCCATGCTGTCCTGACGGGGATGGTCACCTAACATGCAAAAAGTCCAAATATAAATATTATATTTAAGCTCCAGTAATCAATCAAGTTTCACAGAATCTATTTTAAAAAGTATGATTTTTTTTAAAAAAAGTATCTAATTTAAAAAATGAATTACAGCATTTTGATTAAATTTATGAGGATTTTTTCTTTGATAAACAATTATATGGAGCTATCCAAGAAGAATATAATGAATTGGAAGGACTCTTGAATAAAATGTCATAATGTACGCATACAGCCCCTCGGTAATTCAATAGATTACAATTTATTATTTATCTGTACAAGCATGCATAACTGACATGGTACAATTATGAATTTTGCAAATAAATTAACAAATAAAGCTCTTAAATTTAAAAATATTAGAGGGGAGAAACCCAATTCAGAGTGTATCAGATCTTAAAATTGTTCTAAATTAGACAAGTGATAAATGTGTGTTTTTAAATGAGGAAATAGCAGGGATTTATAAATATTTCAATTCTTTCCATCAATGTTATTTTTGAAGAAGTCTACTGCATTTGTAGCACTAGCTGTAAGGAAACATTTATTTATTTATTTTGGTTTCACCTCACACAATGTAACTGACTACAACTCAGGCTGTCATTAATTTGCAACAAGGCTGATTACAGTGCTGTAACATAAAGGTAGTCCTCAATTTATGGTCGTTTAACAACAGTAATGCCCTTGGGAAAGATTATTTTATGGCCCATAACACATTTCTGACTGTTATAAAAGCAGTCATGTGATTGCCATCTGGGTGCTTGTCCCGGAATTATATGATCGCCCTCTGCAATCTTTTCTACTGATTTCCCAGGAAAGTCAATGGGGAAGCTGGCAGGGAAGATTGCAAGTTGCTGTCAGCTGCCTGTTGAGAGGAGCTAAAAGTCTTTGGCAAGGTGAAGAAATGGTGCTCAGAGGCTGAAGATCCAAGTTCTGTTCCTGCATCCCACCTTCTGTGTGCAGAAGATCTGAACTTCATTCTTGCACCCCGCTGAAGTCATTTCCTTTTACACATAGAAGAGAGCTGACATCCTCCTGTGGGGTGAAGGAATGGAATTCAGATCCCTGAAAATCTGAGCTCCATTCTGCATTCCCTTACCTATGGAGAGGGTGGCTAAATTCCTTCAGCGGAGTGAAGAAACAGCTCACATTCTGAAGATCTGAGCTCTCTACTTGCATCCTGCCAAAGGCTTTCCCTTTTGGATGCAGAGGGAGCTGAACTCCTTCAGCAGGCAGCTCGTTCAGCCAGTCCCCAAATATGAGAGGGAACTGAAATTCAAGTAGAGCCAAGAGGCAGAATAGTAAATTAAGGAGTGAAGGGTGCCTCAGCTTGGTGGGGTTAATCCTGGGAAGGCTGGTCCAGGCTGCGGTGTGGGACTGGATCTTCCTCAGCGGTTGAAAATCCTGCTTGCATTTCGGCAGGGACAATATTTCAGGGCCTGAATGGAACCTCCCAGAATCTCTTCCAACCCATATAATCGCTTAACCACCACAACCAGAGTGCCAGGATTGCAGTCAAATGAAGCAGTCACGTGATGTCTCGCTTAACAACTGCTCTGCTCAATGATCGAGATTCTGGGCTCAGCTATGGTCATAAATTGAGAACTAGCTGTATACATTGTAAGCAGAACTGCTAAGTTTGTGGTTAAGGCAGCTCAGCTAACAACCCGTTATAATGAACAGATGATGTATTTATCTGAACGCTGATTCCCTGTATTTACCATATATGTATTTTATTATTTTATTACTGTATTACTTTTATCTATTTTATCCTGGAGTTAGATCCTGTATTTTACTTTCATTTTATTTGATATGGTCATAAGTCTAAACAATTAGTGAATTATTAGAAATATTACAGTTTTATCACTTAGCATATATTCTGACATTTATGAAATGTCAATGATGAAGCAAAAAAAATATTATGGGCACAATTAGAAAATCATAATAAGATCCTTCCGATACCCTGGCAGGAGATTGGATGTTTTTTGTTTTTTTAGCAAAAACTCTAGGCATTACAGACTGGAAAGCATGTATAGATGTTCGGATGGAAATTATGATGATTACCTATATTTATATGACAAAGTTGTACTTTGGGATAAATTTGAAAATAGCTGATAATAGCGGATATGAGCTATTTATTAATTATAGAGCATTTTATTGCCAACTCCCAGGCAATACTAGCATTTTTTAATTTATTAAAGATTGTCTGGACTCTTTTTTCTCACTTCAAGGTTAAAGAAATAACTGTCTAACAAAAGAAAAAGCTAGGATTTTAACATAATAATGACTATGCAAGAGTGTTTGTAACTGACCAAATAAAAGACACCAGCAATCCTTAAATTTCTGTTAGTGGTCTCCAACATAAAGCTGGAAGTTTTCTCTTAATATATTTTTAAAAAAACCTATACATTTCTTAATTCTAACTTTGACTTTTTGGAAATTGGGAGCTCACATGTTATCAGTGCCTGATTTGTTTAGCCTTTACAAATTATTTTAATTCTATGATCTAGACACCAAGCAAGTCTAGGACTACCAGATCTGAGTTGTAAAATTCAAAAGATAGTTATTGGTGCTTTACTTTTGATGGAAAAGGGAAAAAAATTATACCATTATAATTAATTCTAGTTGAGACTTCCGGTTTTGGGTTGCAGTGGTTGCAGGTACACGAAGAGGCTTCTCTCTTCGTTATCTGCCTTTCCTCTGCCGGCAGACCCTTAATTGGGTCGAAAAGTCACCCTGGAGGGGTGACTACCGAGGAGGAGACTCTCGTTGATTGCAGGGGGAGGAGGCAGCTCCCTCCGCAGTCCGAGGCAGCTCCTCAGGGCCAACGGAGAAAAGATCAGCCAGTAACATGGCCAATCATTTAGCTGCTCCAGCCGAAAGTCAAAAGAACATCTAAGCGTTAAGAAACCATTGTGGAGGATCCTGGTGAGACTTTTCCCTCTCTCTTTTTGCCTAACTACTCTCCTGTTAAAAGCCTTTTGGAATTACTTCCCTGCTTTGAAAGAGCTGCCTTTGTTTATCTGGGGAAAAGAGCTTTCCATAACAAAGGAAAAAACTTTTTATTGACTATTTTTATTTTTGGTTACTTGGGGGCCCTGGAAAAATCCTTATCATAAAACTTTATTATTATATCTTCTAAGCTGGAGAATATTGTTTTCCTATGTCTTGGATTTATTTTTTTAAAGGGATAAATCTTTATTGTTTGAAAAAAAAAAACCTCTATGAGAATCCGGAAAAGAGATTTCATAGCTTTTTGACTTTGCTAATCTCATTCTTGATGTCTGGAAGAGACTTCCATAGTTTACTGAGGACATCTTATGGAGAAATTTAAAACTGCAACCGCTTCTTGTTTGTGTTACTATTGAAATGGAGAAACCATATTCACAACTCAATTGTAAACTCATACTGTAAAAAATTTATGAAGCTACTGAGGAAATATGTTCCCAAATAAGAGAGAGAACTGCAGAAATAATAAACAGAAATTCTACTGTGAACTTACAAACTCACCTTCATTCTCTATTCGATTATTCTACAGACCAAAAAGCAATAGAAGACGAATTAATTTACATACAACCTATGGAGACTTTGGATGACCAGAAAATGATTGTAACTAAACTATCTACAATTGCAAAACTAACAGAAATGGACTTGAAATTACAACTGTTGGAGAATTATAACAACTTTGATAATTATCTACTAATTATAAAATTGGACATGATCAAGTGTTTTATCCAACAGACAGGAGCCAGGCATTAAAAACAGAGGATGGGAGGTTTTTTACTGATCCAAATGACATTACAAGCAATAACGGGAGATCTATTTGCTGAAATAGAGGCTTTGTTATGGAAACCTTCTTGGCATAAAAAGAAAGCCAGAATAAGACTAAAAAGAGAAATTTAAAATTATATGTAATGGATTAAAAAGGTTTTGAAAAATATGGATTGATTTAAGGACTAAGATTTAGAGTTGAAAATTTGTGATTATTAGAATATATATGTTAAACAGAGTAAGAATGTACTTTTTGGAATAATATGTTTATTTGTATGAAAATTATTTTGTAATGGAATGAGAATAAGAATATGAAAGAGGTTTTTTAGAAATTCGGATTGCTTTAACAACTAATTGAGTGTGTTAAGTTAGCAAGATGATGTTTTGTGTAATAATAGGTGTGTTCTGTTTTTTTAGACATGATAATTATTTGAATGAGATTTAAATGCTATCTGAAGAAATAAGAGAGATTTGTGATAAAATCAATGATTTATGAGATTATGAATTAGAATATATTTGGATTAGTATTTTAGAAGGGATACCCGAAGTGATAATACGTTTATCTAAGATTAAATTGGACTATTGTAACTGTAAATTAATAAAGTTCAAAACAGGATTAGGATTTATAGATATGTAATGTAGAAATGGATTATGTTAAATAGGTTATATTATTTGAGGGAAATAGAGAGGGAACAAGAGTTGTTCTATATCATTTAACATTTAACTTGAGTTATTATATGATTTTGTTTTTGGATGATTGATCACCTAACCACCACAGTGTGTCTTGAGCATTCTGTTGTAAAAGTTAAAAAAACCAATAAAATTTGTTAAAAAAAAATAATTAATTCTAGTTATGGTTGGCAAAAAGCCTGAAATTAAATATATTCAAGCATGTGCTAAACAAATAGCTAAACTTCAGAAATTATAATGTTTATATTTTTAAATATCATATACACAAATACACACTATCTTCCTATTCTCAATAGGAAGATATTTGATTTTATTTTTGTATGAAGTTTGCAATGGAATGTCTTGTGAAAGTTAATATATATACTAGTATTTTCTACTAGAGATTTCTGATGTAATTTTTTAAAAAGCAGTATTCAATATGTTTTGAAAAAGAATTTTATCATGATGATGCTATGGAAGATTCTAATCCCAAATTCACTTACAGTTTCCTATGTTCTGAAATGAATGAGGGAGATTACATTTATAATTACTTAACAGCATGTTATGATACCCAGCCAAATTATCTGGTAGAAAATACAATGCAAACTAACATCTTTCTGTTCTGTGTGATAATAATCTAATGCATAAAGATAATTTTGGGACAAGCTGCTTGCCTTACCACTCTGATAGTATTTGGAATCGTGTGTCCACCGAAAGCCAGTACAAAGTCCGAAGTCTGTCAATTTGATATGGCCGTCACGATCAATCAAAATGTTATCAGGTTTTATGTCTCTATGAATGAAGCCCATCTTATGAACACTTTCAACCGCACAGGTGAGTTCGGCTATGTAGAATCGGGCCATATTTTCGGGAAAGACTCCCATTCGAATTAACAAGCTCATCATATCTCCTCCTGGAATATAGTCCATTATAAAGTACAAATTGTCCTTATCTTGGAAAGAATAGTACAGACGAACTACCCACTCATTATCAGCTTCTGCAAGAATATCCCTTTCAGCTTTAACATGAGCCACCTGGTTTCGAAGAAGCACGTCCTTTTTTCTAAGAGTTTTTTTTGCATATAAAGCATTTGTATCGACCTTTCTTGCCAAACAGACTTCTCCAAATGCCCCAATTCCAAGAGTCTTAATTTTAACAAACATTGATTTATCCATTTTGGCTCTTTTGAGACGAATGTAGTTGGATTCCTTTTGGCATAGCATTTTCCTCATTTGATCTTGGGCCTCTTGGGATAACCCAACCTGTGCAACAAATGTAAAAAAAAAAAAAAAAAGATAGTGGAAAAAAAAGAAATTGTTTAAGAAAAGTAAACAATATTAGTCAGGGAATAATACTCTCATTTTTATTATTTCAGTTTATTTTATTGTAACGTATTAGGAAACCATCAAAACACTTCAGAACAATATACAACAAAATGTTAAAATGAGATATTATAAACAGAATCATACACAAGAGCCATGCACAAAGAGGCTCAAGATTCAAGGACAACTTTTTAGCAAGGAACTCCACTGGTGAAACTAGATTAACTAATTAGAAGACTCTACTATTCTTAAAAGACCCATTTTTTTTAAAAAAATGAAGATTTGACTGACATTCCAACAAATATTTTTATATTGTCAGTTAGGCTAGAGTCTAGAGCAGTGGTTCTCAACCTTTTTAATGCCGCGACCCCCAACCGGTCGTAAGTCGACTACTCAACCGGTCGTAAGTCGAGGACTACTCAACTGGTGCAGCACCGTTTGCAGAATGGGACTTTTGGCGGGCTCAGCAGGGCAGAGACAGCCTGGACAATTCCTATTGGCTTTTGAAAGCCAATAGAATTAGACTCTATTCAAGAGAGTCTATTCTATATTGGCTTTCAAAAGCCAATAGAATAAAAGGGAGTAGCACAGCTAAGGAAAAGGGGAAAAAAATGGCGGACTGTGTTGTTTGGCGACCCCCGTGAAATGGTCGTTTGGCCCCAAATGGGGTCCCGACCCACAGGTTGAGAACCACTGGTCTAGAGACATATATCATCTATTTACTAGAAAAATGCACTTATTTTCTTCCCATATGATTTTCCAGCTTCTAGCTTTCATTCAATAATCTTATTTTTAATTATATTTAAGAAAATCTTAAAATAAACATTTGCATCAATAAATATCTGGCACAATGACTACTAAACAATTCAGCCACTCTGAACAATGTAAACAAAATAAAAAAGTGTAATTGTATTATTGTCCTTGTACTACTGTAGAACATAAAAATAAATGATACACGATATTAGTGATCTAATATAAATACATTCAAGTACAGTGAAACAAAGCATGCTTAATTTAAATGCATGTAAGCATGCAGAGTCCCATAAGAAAGGATCCATGCTATTCTTTAAATAAAATACTTGTCTCCAAAATATTACTTGCCTACCCAGTAACGAAGGCTACAGATGTCAGGAAAGCTTCCAACACCTTAATAGTTTAAACCAGCTGTTAGTGAAAGTGAAAAGGAAAGAGACTAAGAATGAACATGTAGAAAGAACAAGAAATTTAACTGACTCAGACATCAGTTACCTTCCTACTCATAAGGATGAAGTTTACCAGAGAATTTTAGAAAATACTGTAATTAAAATGGCACTTCTACAGAAATTCAAACCCAGCAAATATATAATATAAATTAAAAATAATTGAGGTTGAAATGTTTATATTTTAGTGCAATCAAAAAATAGAGGCAATTTCACTATTTTTCCAATACGAAAAAGTAAGAATTCAAAGCAGCTTATTTTTATTGGAAAATCAATTGTTAGATCTTTTTTAAAAAATAATGAACAAGAGACATTGCAGAATCCAATCGGGGTCGGTCACCAGGACCAGAGGCTTTGTCTTCCAAGCTTTCGGACTCGTGCTGGAGCCCGTTTTCAGAGAACTCTGGCCAGAGAGAAGTTCCCTGAAGATGGGCCCCAGCATGAGCCTGAAAGCTCAGAAGGCAAAACCTCATGATTCCGGTCACCAATCCAGATTGGATCCTGCAACATTATCCTGGGATATATATATTTGCCTTCATTCATAAAAGAGTCATTCTATATCAGGCATGTCAAACTCGCAACATCATGTGACGTCGCGCGACGTATTGGAGCTTTTTCGCCATTGCCGACAATGGGGTGGGCGCAGCTCCGGTATGATGAAACCGGCCCATGGGCTGGCAGTTTGATACCCCTGTTCTATATTATAACAAATAATGCTAAACACACCCTTACTTATAGTGATATCCCTTTTCTACTGAACTATCCAATATGTACACAAGGTCCCACAAACCCCCAATTTCATTAAGCTTTATGCAAAAATAATTAGTTGCAAATATCAGATTTGGAAAGCACTTTCTGGCAGTGTCAAGCCCATGTCTGCGCGTGGGTTATTAAATCCCTAATCTTCCTGGTCCAGTTTCTGGCACACTTCCATACTATGTTCTTGGTAGATTTCTAAATATAGTTATTCATCTCCCCATGTACACTCCCATAAGCACTTTCTGTTATAAGCAATAAAATAAAAATATAATGCATTTGGTGATTTGTTCCCTCCCCCCCATGGCTGATTTGCTTCAGCTTCCTGTTAGCCTGCTTGTTTACAATTTCTCTGACTATAACACAATCATGCCGCCAGAAAGATATCTAAGAATTTAATCTGACTGACTCAATAGGATTGCACTATAAAAGCTGGTAAACTATTACCATTTAGTAAAGGTAAAGATAAAGGTTTCCCTGTCCAGTCGTGTCTGACTCTAGGGGGCGCTGGTCATCTCCATTCCTTAGCTGAGGGAGCCAGCGTTTTCCAAAGACATTTCTGTGGTCATGTGGCGAGCATGACTATACGCCAAGGTGCACAGAACACTGTTATCTTCCCATCAAAGTGGTATCTATTTATCTACTTGCATTTGCAGACTTTTGAACTGCTAGGTTGGCAGGAGCTGGGGCAACTAACGGGAGCTCACTCTGTCATACCGTGCTTAGGTCTGAAACCTGAGCTATGGGTTTTCCAGTCTTTAACATGCAGAGTCACTGCGCCCTGAACAATTACTGTTTAAGCCTAAACAGCTGAAATTGGAACATCATTTGACAGCTGTGGCTGGGAGGACCTTTGCACAAGTTCGTCTGTTGCACCAGTTGCGACCCTACCTGGACCGGGAGGCTATCCTTACACTCATGCCCTTGTCACCTCACGCCTGGACTACTGCAACGCGCTCTACATGGGGCTACCCTTGAAAAGTATTCGGAGACTACAGTTGGTCCAGAATGCAGCCGCGCGAGTGATAGTGCGTGTTCCTCGGTACACCCACGTTACACCTATCCTCCGCGAGCTGCACTGGTTGCCTATTGGTCTCCGGGTCCAATTTAAGGTGTTGATTATTACCTTTAAAGCTCTATATGGCTCAGAGCCAGGCTATTTGCGAGACTGCCTACTACCTCATAATTCCCTTCATCCAGTTAGATCCCACAGGCTGGGCCTCCTTCAGGTCCCGTCGGCCAAGCAGTGCCATTTGGCGGGGCCGCGGGGGAGGGCTTTCTCTGTGATGGCGCCCACATCTTGGAACCAGCTCCCCCCGGAGATTAGGACCACTCCCACCCTGTTGGTTTTCCGCAAGCTGCTTAAGACCTGGCTTTTCTGGCAGGCCTGGGGTTTATAAAATCTGACCCCTGGATGAATGTTACTGTATTGTTTGTCTTGTTAAGTTATATTGTGTTTTTATTGTTAGCCGCCCAGAGTCCTGCGGGAGTGGGGCGGTCTATAAATTTTAATAAATAAATAAATAAATAATGCAATGGTAATATTATAATTTCAAAGTATACTCCATGCAAAACAAGAGTAAAGTAGAAATAATTTTAAAAAATTACCCTCATCATTTCATTTTCAAGCTGTTTCTTACGATGCAGTCGCTGTTGATGAGATTTGAGTATGTTTTCAACATGCTGCTCCATAAAAAATTTAAAGGCTTGAGGAGAATAGCTTTGAATGCGGGATTCCCTTCTTTCTTCGTCTCTTTTATTCTTCCTAACAGGAACAGGGGAAGTTGTTATTTGCTTCTTTTCTCTATCGATTGTCTCACTGTTCTCATTCTTTTCAGCATCCTCTTCCTTAGGGAACCCAGGCTGATCTTCTTTGCCAGGCTTTGTTATAGCTTCATATGGGGTGGCAGTTAGATTTGGATGTAATAAATGCTTTGGATAAGGAGGGGGTGGTCCTTGATAATTTCCACCTTCCGCTGCAGATGGTATGACTGGCACAATTGTACAGGGTCCCTCGGAAAAGGAGGGGGGCTGGACAGCTTGCATTGGTTGTGAAATCCAAGACGGGTGAGTAGGAGCTAAGGCAGTTTGCAGTTCTGGTTTCAATACACGCATACTTTTTACTGGCTGCTGTATAGGAGCTGGAGTAACGGCTGTAATTGTTGTAGCAGAAGGTTGTGAATTTGCAGCATGGTTTTGTCTGTTTCCGACATGATTATTGAAAGAATTTGACCTGACTGGAATATTGGATTGCCATACTGGGATGTCATGTCCATTTCCAGAGGATGACTGTGACCAGGTTGTTGGAATTCCCGGAACGTTTATGTTATATAATTCTAGGTTATGGCTGTTTCTATTTGGCACCATCATCGATTGAGAAATGTTCCCATTAGGATAGGCTGAAAGGGGAGCAGGACCTCCTGTCTGCATCTGCAAAAGGGTAGGACTTTGTCGGCTTGTTGGAGATATTGGATAAGGAGGAGGTGGTTGGCGACTTGCTGAGTTACCGGGCATGATATTTTGATGAACGATATATTCAGCCTGACAATTGCCGTTTTGTATTCCACTCCTTCCAGATGAAAAACTAAATTTGCTATTAACTGAACTTTGCATGATTATTGGTTGCCTACCAACAGGAACTGAACTAATACCTCTTTGTCCCTGGACAGAAGGATTCATAGATGATGAATTCATAGTTTGGGGAGGATAACCATCCTGCCATGTTCCTGGAGGCACTGGAGAAATACGAGATATCATATATTCCATGTTCCCCGAATACCGTTTTGTTTGAGAATTTGCTTCCCAGGAAGGAGGAGGTGTTCCTCTGGGAGGGGGTGGGGGTGGAGTAACACTTCTGACTTGAGGTGGAGGTGGTGGGTTCACTCTTTGTCCATTGCCAGGGTGAGCCTGGGCAAATGCAGCTATTCCAGATCCAGATAATGGTCTTCCTACTTCACCCTGAGAAATAGGGCTTTCTGAATGAAATGTGAGGCCATCTCCCAGTGCAGAAGCGTGTCTCTGGGGAACCAAAGATTCTTTAGAACCTTTCCAGCTTTGTCTACGGATAACTGACTGCTGTACTGCTCCTCCTGCTTTTTTTAAAAGGAAAAGCACATTTTTTTTACTACTCATTTTAAAATTCTGGAATAGTAAATTTTATAAAAGATTAGAAGTAAGCGTTTCTGATGTTAAAAAAACAAAACAAAACACCCAGAATGAACTGATATAAAAATGAGATGTGGAACAATTAATCTAAGTGCATATAGGTAGTCCTCGACTTTCAACCATTTGTTTAGTGATGGTTTGAAGTTACAAGTATTTATCATGGTCACCGTGTCCTGGGATCATCTTTTGTGACCTTCTGGCAAGCAAAATCAATGCTTGTCAGCACCGATTAAGCAAAATTAAGATTCACTTAACAACCATGTTACTAGCTTAACAACTACAGGGATTCACATAACAGCTGTGGCAAGAAAGATTGTAAAATGGGGCAAAACTCACTTAACAAGTTCCTTGCTTAAGAACAGAAAATTTTGGCTCAATTCTCATCGTAAGTCAAGGACTAGCTGTACTACTCATATCATAATGTTGAGTCCCAGGACCCAGACTTCATGTGGCACTCCTAAATGATCTGCGTAGAGAACTGCAACATTGATCCTAAATATTTTTTGCAATAAAAAAAGCTTCAAAAGGATTCTGTTAATTGTCTTCTTCCTATTCTTTGTCCTAAATTGGCCCTTTTCAATTTTTATTCATTAGTATATTCAACAAGATGAGCATGCTTTTGATACAGCTTGAGTAAAGAAGCGAAGTGCCTCTTTTCCCCTCTATTCTAGGTTCTTTTCCATAAGTAGTTTTTATTAGGAAAGGAAAATAATAGGCCTTACTTTTATGTTTATATATGCGCAGCTGACCTTTTATTGTGCAGCTTGCCCACACAATATCTTTGGCAATCTTCTCACTTTACTACCTTTCTTCTACCTCTTTTACATAAATAATGAGAAACAGAGGTTAAATGAAGAGTAAAGAACAAGGCAGAGAAGTACCTTTATACTACTGTATCCTGCTGGTGTTCCCCTTTCAATATACTTTATCTGCCAATGAAGTTGCAACTAAAAACTTCATTTTAACTACAAATGTTAAAAACATTATTTTTTTTTAATTTTTCAGTCAGTATCTCTTACTTCAAATTATTTCCCTCTTGTCATCAGTTTTGAAAACATACAAATTCCTTTCCAAGAGTATATATGGACGTGCATACCTGGGGGCTTGGGGCCAGCAGTAAGGGGTCTAGATGCTGCTGCTGCCATTTGTTCTCGACGAGAATCTTGATAACTCATTTTACTTATAAATTCAATGGCTGCTTCTATGCTGCGGCTATTGGTTTGTCTTAGAGCTTGCACAACCATGTCCTATTGATGGGAAGAGTATACAAAAAAAAAATCCCAATAAGATATTTATTCATTCATAACAAAAAATGTCAGAAGCACTGTATTTAATATTAGATTGAAAATGTAAAGCCTTAGTGCTATTATTCCTAACAATGCAATATTGCTATAATCTGAGTATCAATGGCATTGGAAATGTGGTCATTACAAAACAAGATGACATTAGCATGCCAGGATGAATCTCAAATTATACAAAAAAAACAAAAAACAACAACCCCACATTATTTTTCTAAACACTAAGATCAGATGCTTCACCTCCATCTTGCACTGCCCAAAAGCAAAACCCAGTAACCTATCTGTGACAGATTTTTCCCCACGCTTTTTATTAAATAGTGATTAATGAACAATATCAGGTAATCACATTAACATAAATCCAAGATGCAAATAAAGATATCAAAAATACAAGAAAGATCTACAATATAAATAAATACTGCACATGTATAAATTTACCATATATCTAAAGTATACATTATAAAATCCATTCAAATTTGATAAAACTGCGGTTCCTGCCTCTGATGTCTCATTATTTTAATTTTGTTTCACTTTTTTCTAATGTAGCAATTGGAGAGACTTTGTCCATATCAATAACTTTTAAAATAAGGAGATATTATGAATCTGTTCAGATAATTGATCCCTGGGTGGTTTTCAATGCTATATAACATGGTTTCCTTCTGGACTGACTCAGAGAATTGGGGCTGAGCAGCATAGTGTGTTGCTGGTTCGCCTTTGTGGTCAATTCCAAATGGTTGTGATTGGGGGGGAGATTTCGCTCTTGATCCTTACTATGTCGAGCGGATGATTTTCTCTTCACTCTTATTCAACATTTACACAAGGCTGCTAGGTGAACTCATCCACCACCATGGGGTAAGGTATCACCAGTACACTGATGATACCTAATTATACATCTCTGCTGTGGTTGAATAAAGTGATTCTGTGGACATCTTATCCTGGTGCACAGAGGGTGTGAGGGTCTTGATGGGAAACAATAGGATTCAACTGAACTCTGGCAAGACTGAGTGATATAAGGTTTTGGGTCCACCTGTTCTAAGACTCTATCTTCTTTGGTACCAGATGGGGTCACACTGCCCCAAACAGACCCTGTGTGCAATCTGGTTTTTTTTCCCTAAACTCACAACTCTTGCTCAAGGAACAGGGGGCAGTAGTGGCTAGGAGGGCTTCTGCTCAACTTTGTATTATGCATCAGTTGCATTTATTCTTAAATCAAGGGGCTGACTCGCAGTTTGTTGTATGCCACCCAGAGTCACTTGCCTGTGGGACGGGCATCTATCTGAATATGACAAATAAAGAAATGTAACTTGGGAGTAATAAATAAGTTCAAATAACGTGCACAGGGGAACAACAGAATCTTAATCAGAACACAAATTTTTGAATGTACTTTCCCCAAAAATCTCAAAAAATGTTTGTGCTATTACCAATTTGATATCACACTAGGAATTATATTTTACCTCATCAAATCCAGCAGCTTGCAGATCTTGAAACATCTGACGATTAACTTCTGATGTTCCTCTGATTGAAGAATTTGTTTCATTCGCAAAAGGAAGTAGAGAATTTCTAATTTCTTGCAGAGCTTTATGGTAGGTAACAAACTTAGGGGGATTTCGACCTTGTCTGGGATCTTCAGTCGGTATTTTACCCATATTTTGTTCAACTTTTGTAGCATCTGAAGGCTTAGGCAAATTTCTAAGGCTCTCTCGTATTTCTTGTAACATCTGCCGGCTGCTGGTGGTGTAATTACTGGCAGGAAATGTTTTAGGCCTCATTTGTCTATATCCCTCTGGTTTCTCGCTTCTCTTCATGAACTCGTATAATTTCTAACCAAGATTTTCAATATACTTAACACTGTAATCAGTGGAATGGCAACCTCAAAATACACAGTTGATCTTGATTCCAGTAGTACATACATCCATTCAAGTCTAAGAGAATAGAATAATAGTCATTCTAAATAGAATAATAAAACCCTGTTACATTATTAGAAAATGTTTTATTCAACTTTTATGTTTATCGCCTTTTTATAAATATTTGGTTTAAAAGCAAATTTCCTTCTACTTAATATTTGATGTTTATAAGATTGCAATCTGAACAAACTAACCCATTTTATTTTACAAACCAAATCTAGAATAATAAAAGAACTGGGTATGAAGACTATCTCTGAACATATTATGACATGCAGCAGATACCCATGCCAAATTCATCAGACACTTGCCTCCTTCCTGCTGAAGAATCATTTTAACCTTTCGAGACCTGGTTAAAGATTCCCAAAAAAGACAGGCCCGTTTATGCATAGCTATTGATTGCTGTTTGCAAGCCGTCTCTCATCTTGCAAAAAATTGATTCTGTTTAGGAAAGTAGTTCTTGGCTTCGTTGGAGATTGAATATTTTACACAATATTATCCAAGTAAGTGCTTATTTAATCCGTAAATGTGATATAAATGTTCAAATTAGAGGGATTGTCAGATTCAACATATGTTTGCCTTTATGTGATATTAAAATAGCAAAGCATTAGTAACTGCAACTTATTTTATTACTGTGAGCATAATAATTATGTTGTATAAATTTTACTGCTACTTTGACTAATCGCTTTAGAAAGCCAACAACCAGCGCAATAGCTCCTTTCTATCCATGTCCATCCCCAACTAGTAGCCAGCTGCAACAATTATACTAGGAGGCATTCTCTTTCTGATATAACTCTTTCATTTCTAATACTGGGAGATAGTGCCAACAGCTAAAATGTTCCTTTCTAACCATCAGAATCTTGTAAATACAATTCCGTGTATTGTAATTGATTATTATTAAAGGTAAAGGTTTCTTTTGTTCAGTCATTTCCAACTCTAGGGGGCGATGTTCATCTCCATTTCTTAGCTGAGGGAATCAGCACTGTCTGAAGACACTTCCATGGCCGTGTGGCCAGCATAACTATACACCGAGGTGCACAGAACACTGTGATTTTTCCACCAAAGTGGTACCTATTTATCTACTTGCATTTGCATGCTTTCAAACTGTTAGGTTGGCAGGAGCTGGTGCAAGTAATGGGAGCACACCCTGTCACATAGCATTCGGGTCTTGAACTGAGCTGTCAGCTTTCCAACTGATGAGCTCAGTGTCTTTAATTGCTGAGCCATTGCCCCCTTATTATTTTCCTTGTTAAATTTATTTTCAACAATGCACTCAGAAAGTATTCAGACCCCTTCACTTTTGTCAATTTTATTATGCTGCAGCCAGTTGTTGAAATTCATTTTTTTCTCATTAATTTACACTCAGTACCCCATAATGACAAAGTGAAAACAGAATTTTAGAAATGTCTGTAAATGTATTAAAAAGAAAAATGAAATATCACATTGGCATAAGTATTCAGATCCTTTGCAACAACACTTGAAATTTAACTCTGGTGCCTCCCATTTCTCTTGACTGTTGCTGACATGTTTCTACACCTTGATTGGAGTCCACCTGTGGTAAATTAAATTGATTGGACATGATTTGGAAAGTCACACACCTCTCTATAGAAGGCCTCACAGCTGACAATGCATACTGTACCAGAGCAAAAGCCCTGAGGTCAAAGGAATGGCCTGTAGAGCTCAGAGACAGGATTATTGCAAGGCACAGATACAGGGAAGGCTACAATAAAATTTCTGATATGCTGAAAGTTCCTAAGAGCACAGTGGTCTCCATAAGTCTCAAATGAAAGACATTTAGCACAACCAGGACTCTTCCAAGAACTGGTCGCCTGGTCAAACTGAGCAATCACGGGAGAAGGGCCTTAGTAAGAGAGAGACTAAGAACCAGATGGTTACCCTGACTGAGCTCCAGAGGTCCTGTGTGGAGATGGGACAGAGTTCCAGAAGGACAACCATCACTGCAGCCCTTTACAGATCTGAGTTTTATGGTAGACTGGCTAGACAAAAGTCTCTCCTCCGTCCAAAACACATGAAAGCCTGCTTGGTTTGCAAAAAAGCACTTGAAAGGACTCTCAGACTGTGATGAACAAGATTCTCTGATCTGATGAAACCAAGATTGAACTGTTTGGCCTCAATTCTAAACCAAGCAGCCAGGCACCGCTCATCACCTGCCCAATACCATCCCAACAGCGAAGCGTGGTGGTGGCAGCATCATGCTATGAGGGTGTTTTGCCTCATAGGAAGTGGGAGACTGGTCAGGGCTGAGGGAAAGCTGAATGGAGCAAAGTACAGGGGCATCTTCAATGAAAACCTGTTCCACAGTGCTCAGGACCTCAAATTGGGCCGAAGGCTCTCTTTCTAACATGACAACGATCCTAAGCACATAGTCAAGACAACACAGGAGTGGCTTAGGGACAACTCTGTGAATATCCTAGAGTGGCCCAGCCAAAGCCTTGATTTGAACCCTCTTGAACATCTCTGGACGAATCTGAAAATGCCTGTCCACCAACAGTCGCTATCCAACCTGACTGAGCTTTAGAGGATTTGCAAGGAAAAATGGCAGAAAATCCCCGAATCCAGGTGTATAATGCTTGTCGCGTCATACCAAAAAGACTCAAGGCTGTAATTGCTGCCAAAGGTGCTTCAACAAAATACTGAGTGAAGGGTCTGAATACTTATGCCAATGTGATATTTCAGTTTTTTTCCTTTTTAATAAACTTACAGACATTTTTAAAATTCTGTTTTCACTTTGTCATTATGGGGTACTGAGTGTAGATTAATGAGAAAAAAAAGTGAATCTCAACAACTGTAGAATCAGGCTGCAGCATAATGAAATTGACAAAGATGAGGGGGGGTCTGAATACTCTCTGAATGCACTGTATATATTTTATAGACAGTAACTGTATTCTATGAAAAAAATTAACAGATTTTAAAATATTTTGTTAGTAAAGCTACACAATTATCATTACACACTATAGGTGTTTATTTTTAACATCAGGCATCTTAGGTCACGTTGGAGTTTGCTTTTAAAGCCAAGGATACTTTTAAAAGCAAAGTCTGAAGGAGAAGGTATATGAAATAAGGAAAAAAGCACAACCGATTCAGTCAACGTTAAGATCCTAATTTGATGTGCATCACATTTCTGTACACTGGCTGGATGACAGTTGACATTTCTCAAACTAAAGAGCTTCTTCTGTTCACAGAAAAACCTGTATGCAGTAGAGCTTTTCTCTTGGAAAGTGGTTTTGATTACTCGTGCATTTCTTTGCTTTTTCTAGACTGGTTCTCAGTCTTGAAGAACTAATTTGGAATGCCGTGTGGCTCTTTAGAAGATATAGCAAAATGGTGAATGCCACCTCTACTCATTCCCTCCCTCCCATTTCATACAATTTTCAATTCACCTATATTAAAACAATAGGTGTATTTTAAAATGAAAGAAAATATTATTAGAATGTTTTTTACTTTTTTCTCTCTATATAAATCATATTATGCATATAATTAAAATATATTATATTCCTAATAAGCATTCTTATGTTGTTTTTCAATTTAAGACTGAGACCTTTTTCTCACTTTCCATCTGATATAATGAGCTATTTAATTCACATTAGAAAAATTCAGCTGTCCATCCTATTCCTTAGCATTAATTTGTAAACTATATTTACACAAAAGATATAGTAGAACGGCAAATATAAGATACCCTTACTTTCTAAGCATAATGGTGAAGGTCTTTCTCTTATGTTTCTACCAAGCCATGGAATGACTCTTGCAGGAATTGTATTTTTCATCTCTTTTGGAAAGCAAATGAAGACTTAAGAGAAAAATCTTCATTCGCTTTCCAAAAGAGATGGGAAAATATAATTCCTAAGAGAGACATTCCATTGCCTGGAAGAAATATAAGTGAAGGCCTTCATCATTATGCTTAGAGACTAAGGACATTTTAATGCAGGGGTGTCAAACTGCCAGCTCGCGGACTGGATGCATCACGAGGAAACTGCGCCCACCCCCTTGCCGGCAATGGGGGGAAAGTTCCAATACATTGTGCGACATCATGTGATGACGCGAGTTTGACATGTCTATTTTAATGAATTGTTCTGATACATAATCTGTATAATGTATCTATCTCTTTTCTCTTAAAAAACGTTTTAGTTTAAATTATTTTTAATAGTTTAAACACATTTTATGATATTTTAACTGTTTGCTTTATTTATACTTTTAGTTTTCCTGCATGAAAGGGGAGATTTAAATAATAAAAATAAATAAACCACAATGTATCAAATCTACTTTGCAGATTTCCCATGAACTGATTAATTTTTTTAAAAAATAGTGGTAAGTTATAATTAAATATAGTATCACATTTCTGCCCATTATCCATCAGAAATTGTAACAAAACTATGGGGTAATTCAGAGGTCAATTCAAGTTTAACTAGAAGAGTATTTTGGCCTTATATTGAGAACCAGAGTATGGAAAAAAAACTATTGTTAAAATGCAATCCTTAATATAGCAACACATTTTCCTGAAGGCACCTTATGTTGTTATAATGCAAGTTAAAGGCACAAAAACTTATTAATAGATAAATGGTTTCTAATGAAGATTAATTTGACTTCTATTTTTTTCACACATACATATATTTTAAAGTTATTTTATGCTTACCTGAAATTGGCTATACTCTCAGAGAAAGTTACTAACTAAAAACATGAATAAAATGGTAGAATAATGAAACAGGCAGGATATCAAGTACATCTAGTTCACATCCTAGATATCAAGTGTACTGAGGCCTTTCTCACCGTGTTTTAATTAAATTACTGTATTTTTAAGTTAAACCTCTGTACTGTACATTATAAATCTTTTAAAAGCTGCTTAGTAAAACATATTTATCTTTATTTTACAAAAACATGATGCTCCGCTGTTTCTTTTCCTTTGTCAATATATATTCATTTGTCTTCAGAGTGAACAAATAGTGACTGGAATGAGTAATAGTGGCAAGAAAGAAGACAGAATTTGCCCTCAGGTTTCACCATGCATATTCACCACATAAAGAGAAAGCAAATAGATAGGAAGCAAGGAAGAAAGTCACATCCGTCTCCAAATTTGTAGTCAATATTCAACACAACTTAGTGCTTCATACGCTGAACCAAGCTAGAATTAGATAAACAATTCACACTGTGCCTATCCAGATTTATTCGTGTATTACTGACCTGCACTGAAAATTATCCAGTCACTTGGACTCTGCTGGCATTAAAATCAAAATGATAACAATGAAACATCTATAGAATACAGGCAGTCCTTTACTTACAACAGTTCATTTAGTGACTGTTTGAGGTTACAATGGCACTGAAAAAAAATGACTTATGACCGTTTTTCACATGTATGATCATGGCAGCATCCCCATGATCAAAATTCTGATGCTTGGCAACTGACTCATATTTATGACAGTTGCAATGTCCTGGGGTCATGTGATCATCTTTTGCAACCTTCTGACAAGCAAAGTCAATGGAGAAGCCAGATTCACATAACAACCATTACTAACTTAATAAATGCAGTGATTCACTTAACAACTGTGGCAAGAAAGGTCATAAAATAGGGCAAAACTCACTTAACTGTCTCACTTAGCAACAGAAATTTTGGGCTCAATTGTGGTTGTAAGTTGAGTACCACCTATAGTTCAAACAACAATCCCATATATATATATTGATAGAAAACCTCACATAATTTTATTCATTGATTTATTTACTCACATGACTTATATGGCTGCCTAACTCATATGATTATCATTTAATCTTCTGCAGCAATATAGCTGATTAAGTGCACCATAAATGTATTACTATGCATTAATCAGTTTGTTAGTTTCTAAAGACTATTTGTGCTCTCAGCCTATATGTAGTTAATGCAAGGAGGCATTTATGAATAAACGGAAAATTGCATTGTTAAAAAAATATGAAGCAATGATAAAAATTCAAAAACTTATGTCAGTGGAATATTATGAATTTGGAGGACAAAACTAATACTGTTTGCTTTTGCAAGAGTTAATTATTAAAACCTATTCTAAAACAATCATTATGTCCTTTAAAGCTAGTATTATTTTAACATATTTAAGTAACTATAAAACATGAAAACAACAGAGAACCACATTTTGTTCTTTTTAATGGGGCTGATATATCTGAATACATTTTACTTTCCCTTTTCCTTCATATCCTTTTTCTACAGGAGACACAATGGTCTATTTTATTATAAATATAAGATTTCAACCTTTATAATATTCAAAGCACATACTACTATTATGAAGCTTGGTAAAATGCATAACTAGGCAAGCATGTCAGAGGCCTTATAAAATTAACATTTTTCACCTTATCTTTACTACGCTAAGGACAACTATCTAAAAAAAATAAACTGTAAAATAATTCATTGTAACAGAGAACGTCAGACGGTTCCCCCCAAATTGCGATATGCCTTTATTTAAAAATAAAATAAACAGCAATAAGCAAATAAAGAACAACGGTGTACGTTAAAAAAAAAGCTTTTTAAAACCCTACAAGACCGTATGATCTAGACTTCAGGGAAAGTAAGGGAAGCGTAAGACACGTAAAGGCCAAGAGCTCGACGTAACTGGGAACGAAGTAATCTTAGGCGACCCGAGCGATGGGCGGGTGGAAACACAAAGGAGTCGGGACGATTCCCGTCAAAGCAGCAGAGTGTCATGAAACCCTAGGCCAAGGCGTGCCCCGTCTCTGAGGCCTTCCTCATTAACTAGCCGCCAAACTTCTTTCCCTGAGGCGGAGCCCAAGCAAACCCATCTACCCACCTGCCTGGGGGGAAAAGGCGGTGTTGACAGCGCCTCTAGCCCAGCACACCGGAGGAAGGTGACGACGACGACGGGGATTCCCAGCGACAGCTACACGTTTGGCGTAAAGGGCTCCGGCTCTTCGTCCCCTCCCCCCTCAATTTCTATCCCCCTTTTCGGGGGGTTCAGTTCCGGGCCGCCATTTTGTCGGTGGGTTTGTCGCCCAAGATTCCCGGATATGAAACCTTTTCCCGACTTCCTTTGCGTGTTCCGCCGGCTTGTTCTTTTTCCTCCTCCTCCTCCTTCTCTCTCCCCCCCCCCCATCCCGGGAATGGGAAAACCCAGAGCGCTTTGGAGAGTTTTCTCGTCTGTCGGGGACGAAGGTTGCAGGCTCTGCCCATTGGTGCTCATCGTGGTCGGGGCGAGTCTGCATGGTCAAACAGAAAGAGCTCCGTGAAGAGCAATCAAGAAATATTTGCGAAGTGTGGAGATAGGCTAGGGTTGTGCTTTGGCTTAATGCGATAAACTCAACGTTTATGTTCCCCGATTAGTATTGCATCCTAATCTCATACTCTGGCTAATTAAACCTACCACGTCTTAGGACAATGTGCAGTGTGTAGTCCCAGAAAGATATGTTGAGTGGAAATGGCCTTTCCTTTTTTTGTTGCTTTTCACCGTGTAGTAAAGTAGGCCTTTTAATGCCCAGATGAGACTGCCGCCAAGCGAAGAGGATCGGAGGTTGGATATCGCTTGCCGTGGTTACGCTTGGGAGAGGTTGGCTGCATATGTTGAAATGAGCCAACCAAGCGTGGCTAAGAACCTTCCCCTTTTTTGCTGCTGCATGTTTGTCCTTCGAATTCATCCCCAGGGTTTTAACAAGGAAACTTAGCTTAGATTCATGCTTTTTTTTTTGCGTAGTGTATTTTTAAGGAATCTTCCGCTTTCTCACTTAATTGATCCCCTTCACTCCTACAGGGAAACTCTCATAACTCCCCAAAGCATGCCTGTTATCTATAAGTAGTCTTTGGCTTTCATCCATTCACTGAGCAACCTTTCAAAGTTACAGTGGCACCGAAAAAGATGATATTAACAACTGATTCTTGAAAAGTTCATTAATCAAATTTATATGGACCATCTCACAGGTGACTCTCGGCAGCATACAAGTTCCAACTGTTGCAGCATTCCCGTGAACACACTCCAAGAACTCGGGTGCCTGGCTTATGATTATATTACATTGAGCCGTAGTTACCCAATTGTCATTTATCTTTCCTGCCAGCTTCCTGCAAGCAAAGTCAACGGGGAAAGCTGGCAGAGAAGGTTTCAGGTCACCCCAGTAAGTCACTCTTGTTTTTTCTCCTAAGCTGCTATGAAATATAAAATCTCAATGAGCTTGTATTCTGTAGCAAGCAATACTCCATTGTATGCAACTGCAGCAGCCTGCGTGCAGCCTCTGCCAGCCCTTCCCTGACCCACCTGTGGCATCTGCTGATCCACTGTGCTCCACAGCATCTACCTGTGGCACTCCAAATACACCCACCTTACCTCCCACCCATTCCCATTTAACAAAACACACACAGTCCTGGGCTTATGACAACCAAGTTGCTATCAGTAAGCAATGCTGCCTTGTAATGTTATACTTTACAACCACACTTGCTTACTGAAAGGAATCCCAATCCAATTGCCACTAACTGGAGAGCTGTCTGTATATAGCAAAACAACATAGCACCATAACAACTGAATAAAGGTATTTTTTGGTTTCTCAACAGTTTATTCAAGTATCAACGAGAAACCTTTCAAATAAAAATAAGTGTCACAAAAAATCCCAAGGGAAATACTTCTACAAGCCAGTTTGTTAATATCATACTTAGTCTGAGTACTAAATAACTTGCAATTAATTAATCTAATCTATGTTAGAGAATAGTTGAAATAATATTGAAAAAGACAGTGTAATTACAAAGTAATTAAATAAACAATGCATAAATGGAAAGTTTTAATATAAAAATATTACTGTTGAAAAATTACAGAAATGTATTGTTAACAAGCTTAATCTGTAACATGAATTATGTTCAGTTGTACTCCAAATTATGACCCTCGTTTAACTATGGTTCTAGAGAATGTTATTGATTACAATTTTTAGGAAAAAAAATCTAAATTTACAGAATAACATTGTTTGGGGAAAAATAAGGCTATACAAAGAGGTCCTTCTTAACATAAATAGATTCTGTGTCAGTTCCATATACAAGAAATGATCCTAACACATCTAAACTGTTTATCGATAAAGTTGAATGTGAACTTAAATTTGTAATCTCAATGCGATCTTTAGTAGGATCATTGTTTAACCACGCATTAATTATGGACTGATTAGCTGTAGAATGAGGTAGAAATGAAGTATTTCTTCCACCTAAAATAAAACACAGAAATAAATGTTATCTTCAAGTAAAAAAATGAGAATTATTTAAATGTAAGGCAAATGTATTGTTAAATATTGTTTAAATACTTGGCTTTGCTGTTTGTCAAAAAATAGTTTACAGTTTGCTGCTCTAGAATAATTTTAATCATTTTCACTGCCTTTTCATTTCAAGTTAGGCTATTATTAAAACTATGGAGATATCTGGAGTTGAAGGCTAAAATAGCACTAGCAATAGCACCTAGACTTATATACCACTCCATAGTGTTTTACAGCACTCTCTGGGTGGTTTATAACATCAGCATATTGTTCCCAACAATATGGGTTCTCATTTTATCCACCTCAGAAGGATGGAAGGCTGAGTCAACCTTGAGCCCTATTAGAATCGAACTCCAGACTGTGGGCAGAATTTGCCTGCAATACTGCATTTAACCACTGCACTACCAGGGCTCCTTGCAAAATGTGATTTGGCACAAGAAGATGTTCATATAGCATTTTAAAGCAGCCTCATCTTGATTTACACAATTGGTGCACAATTGCAGGAAAAGATACATAAGATACTTCCAACAGATGCTGTTTCTGCACATTTCAAATTACATTTGCCCTTTGAATCTGAATCTCTCACATCTATTCTAGTTAATCCAAAAGCAATTATTTTAATATTTATGTGCATTTTCTCTATTCTCCACTTGCAGAAATCTGGAGTGTGGGCAGCATGGAAAAACACTGTACAGTACATGAAAGCATTTTACATTAGAAATACAAGAAATGTTAAAGTTAACTATAGAAATATTGTGCAACAATACCAGAAAAGTTGCTATTTCTATCCTAGTCTGCTAGTAGCATGAAATACCTATTTAGTTAATCAAAAGTTTGAATAAATCTTACCTGTATGAAGAAAAGATTTTCTTTCAGTCACATCAGAGGAAGCATCCCAATGCCACAAAGATCCATCTTCTGAACAAGTGAACAAATGATCAGGGTTGGAAGGATGAAAGTGTACTTCCCATACTGTAAAAGTAAATACATGGCAAACATAATATGTAAAGATAGAACATTCTAAAAAAGTTATTTACATTTCAACTTTACGGTAGCAAATGTTTAAAAATTAATTTTGTACAGAAAGGCGAACTAGTAATACATGAGAGAAACACCCAAGAAATTATCAGTCAATGCCTTCTATTAGCATATTCCTACATTCTATGTTAGCACAGGACATCTTGAAATTGTTTAATGCTTATCCTACAGATCAACAATCCCCAACCTTTCTGGCACAAGAGACCCGGGTGGCTGGGGTGGGGGGAGAAAGAGTTTCACACACAATCTAGATCCCGCATATGTGCAGATGACGCTTTGCTTGCTTGCCCTCTGCTTGCATGGACTGGTTCCTAACAAGCCAGAGTGGTATTGAACTGCAGCCCAGGAAGTTGAGGACCCCTGCTTTAGACTAAGAATAATAATTACTTCCAGATATGATATTGTTTGGTTTACTCCTTAGCAGTTTATTAAATAAACCACATTTAGCTAGGTTAAAAAAAAAATCATGACTTAGGTCACTATGCCAACTAAACCAGCGGGTTTTTTTTTTTTTACAATCTTTCAATTCCAAGTAAAATTCCAAGTAAGCCATCGAAGCACATTTGTGAACCTAGCCATAATCTGATTAAATCTGGAATCCCAGCTTTTTTTTCCCCTGACTTTTTCATCCAGTGGATTCTGCCCAGTATATACACTATTAACTTGGGCTTTCCTGGGAAAAGCTTAAGAAACAACAGAAAAAGCATTGGTCACACTAATGGGGAGAGAGTAGTGAGTGGGATAGGGGTAGTGCATTCTTGCTCTCCTTAACCTCTCTGCAGCCTTCAATACTATGAACCATAGTAAAAAGGATACCATGGTCCATGGTGAACCCTGGCAAAACAATAGCTTTGGGTCCATGAAGCTTCAAGGTCCAGGACTTTGACATCTTTAGGTTAGGATAGGGGTCATACTACCCCACACAGACCCTGTTTGCACTTTGGGGGTTCTCCTGGACTCATGACTCCTGTTTGAAGAGCAGATGGCAGTCTCAGCTAGGAGAGTCTCTGCACAACTTTGGGTTGTGCATCAGTTGTGGCCTTTCCTGGTTCAGAAGTCCCTGCACTCAATCACTGAAGCCATGGTCATCTAATTCTTGGACTACTGCAATGTGCTTCACATGGAGCTACCCTGAAGAGCATTCTGAAGCTTTAACTTGTGCAAAGTGCAATAGCATGCATAGTCTTTGGGGCCCCTAGAGTGGCCCATGTTACACCATTGTTCTGTGAACTGCATTGGCTACCAGTTTGCTTCCAATGCAATTCAAGGTAGAGGTTGTTACTTTCAAAGCCCTGCATGGCATTAATCCAGATTACTTGAGGAACCATCTCATTCCAATGCCCCACCCATGTTAGCAGAGGAGGCATGCTGCAGGTCCCTTTGGTCAAGGATTTCTGACTGATAAGAGTCCAGGACACAGGTCGGCAACCTGCGGCTCCGGAGCCGCATGTGGCTTTTTGAGCCTTCCCTGTGGCTCCCAGCCTCCTCTGCCATTTGCAGAGAGAGACAGAGACAGAGAGAGGCAATTGTGCTTCCCTGCTTCTCTCTCTGTGTGTGTATGTGTGTGTTGTTTGTGTGTGTGTGTAAAAGAAAGTAGACTCACAGTGTTCTCCGACAAGCTGAAAAGCTTTTTAAGTGGGGCTCCTCCCTTTGCTGTGTCTCTGCAGGAAGCAGGAAGGGCAGGAGAGAGCTAGCTAGCCCAGCTATGCTGACTCAGGAATTCTGGGAGTTGAAATCCATGAGTCATAAAAGAGCCGAGGTT